TATCAGAGTGCTCTAGGGACCTGAATGGTGGCCTCAACCAAGGTCCAGATAATGGAAAGCTCTTCTGAGGTCACTCTGAATATTTCAATGCAGTTTGAAATGGCAATTCTGTGGGAGGGGATTGAATGCCCAGGAAGGGTATCAGAGTGCTCTAGGGACTGTTGAAATACAGCACCAATTATCGATGAGCAGTGCTGCCAGCTCTTGGTGGTCTGTGTGCAGGGGTCTCAGAAATATATAAATACCTGTAAATAGAGCAGTGAATCTCATCAGTTTGTTCCTCAGATTACCTTGATACCTGGTGGAAGATTGACTCTGTTCTGGCTGATTCTGCATCTAAAGTCAACACAAACTGATCGCCTTATCAAGTTCTTGCTTGTTTGCCTGCCTTACTTCTCAGACCTAATCCTCATCCTCTCTGTGTTGCACCATGGCTGAAGAATCATGGGATACTGCCAAGGTCCCTCAGTTGGTGGAGGGTAACTATAGGCTGTGGGCGATGAAGATGCAGGTGGCATTGGTGCAGAAGGATCTGTGAGAGCAGGTGGATGTAGAGGTGGAGGTGAAGGAGGGGGTCACACTGGAGGAGGCATTGAGCAAGGTGCTGCAAAAGTGGATAAAGGCCAAGATGGCCAAGGCACAGGCAGAGATCGTACTCTGGGTGGAGGAGGATCAGCTGAAACTTCTGGAAGAAGAGAAGGACACTCATGAGTGCTGGTTCAAGTTACGTGACACCTACAGGGCAAAGGGGTTCATCACAGAGTTGGCCAAGTGGTGGGCATTCTTATTATGTGCAGATGCAGGAGAGTGAGTCAGGTCAGGGATGGATTGCTATGGTGAAGGGTCTGGTGAGGGCGCTGAAAGAGGTCAATGTCGAGGTTGATGAAACCCAGAAAGTGTTGGTCCTGATCATGGGACTGATGGACAAGTATGGGTGAGTGCTGTCACAGGTCGATGACATGAACACCAGGGAATGGACCTTCGACCAGATCAGTGTGAAGATCCTGCACGAGGAGACGAGGCATGATGGACCAGATGGTGTGAGTGAGCTGGAGATGGCAAGCTATGTGAGATCAGGGGGTGTCAAGTCAAAGAAGTGAGGCCCTGTGACTTGCTACAGATGCGGAGAGACAGGGCATGTTCATTGCGACTGCCCAGATAAGAAGAAAGTGGCAGGAGTTGTTGCAGTGGAGGATATCTTTGTGTTTTGATGAATGGGAGGGCAGAAGCAGCAGCTGGCTCAAGGGGGTGTGTTGGAATACAGCACCAGTCATCGGTGAGCAGCACTGCCAGCTCTTGATGGTCTGTGCATAGAGGTCTCAGGGATATATAAATATCTGTAAATAGAGCGGTGAATTCCATCAGTTTATTCCTCGGATTACCTTGATACCTGGTGGGAGATTGACTCTGTTCTGGCTGGTTCTGCACCTAAAGTCAACAGAGACCTGCATGGTGGCCTCAACGAAGTTCCAGATAATGAAAAGCTCTTCTGAGGTCACTCTGAATATTTCAACACAGTTTGATATCTTGCAGTTCTGCCAAGATTTATGACATTCAGGAAGAGGGGATTGAATGCCCAGGAAGGGTATCACAGTGCTCTAGGGACCTGCATGGTGGCCTTGACCAAGTTTCAGATAATGGAAAGCTCTTCTGAGGTCACTCTGAAAATTTCAACACAGTTTGATATCTTTCAGTTCTGCCAAGTTCATGACATTCTAGAGAATGGGATTGAATGCCCAGGAAGGGTATCAGAGCCCTTTAGGGATGTGACTGATGGCCTCACCCATGTTTCAGATAATGTAAAGCTCTTCTATATATTACACATTACAGACTTTTCCATCACTAGAAAAGATGAAGCACATATCTACAGCCTGTATTTTGCTATGTTTCAGTCTTCATCCTCCAATGTTATCATCCACCTTCATTGTCGTCACTGCAATGTAGTTGTGAATGTTAAACATGCTTCCATTTATTTATAGGACTGCAGTTTATCACTTTGGAGAAAGTCCTCTGTTAAGTTAGGTTCTTCAAAAAATAGAAAGATTTCAGAATGGCTTAAAAAAGACTCTCTTTGCATGT